ACTGGAAGGACATAGGATGATTCAGTGGAGCTTTGGGAAAGGACATCATAAAGTTTATTTATAGTGGTTGTGGGACCTGCAGATGGCATAATGGTTATATCACTAGACTTCCATGTAGTCAACTTCAAGTCCTTGACCTGGTGGCACACCAGGTACACGTATGCGTGCATGCCCAAAATCCCAAGAGGAGAATGGAAGCAAAAGGATTGCAGTGTGGCCATTCCCCCAGGGATTGATTTCCTCACTTTCTGTCTCTCTGTGTCTCTGTCTTTCTGACAAGCACACATTCCCTATAACAAAAACAAAAACAAACTAAAAAAAAAAAAAAGACCTCTCTCTGAAAAAAAAAGTTTATTTATAGTGGTTGTATCTGAAAATTTAAAAATATGCTTTTCTGATATGGAAGAACATACTGGCCCTATTGATGCAACTCTGGCCAACAGGACACCCTGTTTGTCACTCACAGGAGGGAGGCAGGATGTTACAGTGAGGCAGAGGGAGGACGGGCCACCCTTGTAGGGCTGTTCCCTTGTGAATCAATATATTGCTAATTGCAGGTGCTGGGCTGGGGGTTGCTGGGCTCCTTAGACTGAAAATAGTTCATTGGGTGACCTAGAGAGTACTTTGTAGCACATGCCAGCTGTCCTGAGCTTTCAAGTTGTGCTACTTGTTGTTTTGCTCTGTTTCCCATCGACAAGTGTCCCAGGAGTGACCTCTGAAAGCCAGATAACTGTCAACAGAAATGCCCTGGCCCATCATTTCTTAAACGTAAGCACAAGCTAGGAGGGAGGTGCCTTTTGAAAGACACTGCGGTATAAACAGAAGTTTGAAAACAAAAGTCAAATAGTGTACCATTGTTTGTAGACGGGAGTAATGTGTGTCACTCACAATGCTTTCTTAAAAATAGTTGAGTTTCCTGGCTGGTGAGAAAATCTTAGAGGATTTCAGTGGCTCTTATTTGCTAAAATATAAGAAGACAACTTCTGTTTAGTTCATTCAAATAACTTGACCTGGGGAAGATGGGTATTTATTAGTTAGATTTCAACAGAAACCTCTGAATCTGGGAATTGATTAAAAAAGTACCCAGCAAGATTATCCTTCATATATGGGAAGAAAAGACAAGAACATTCTCAGATAAATAAAACCTGAAAGAATTTACCAGCACCAGACCAGGTCTCCAAGAAATTCTCAAGAGAGTGCCAAGTCAGGAAAATTAAATGTACTCACACAGAAATAAGAGTACAAAAACTAAGAAAATGGCCAACTTAATTGTAGGGACAAGTCTGGAGTTGAATATTATATCCCAGAATTCAATTGGGAAAATCTAACCCCAACAGAAGATAGATTAAGTACATGAGACTGAACTAGTGAAATAGCATTCTGTGACTTTTGACTAAAATATTGCTGCTTTTCTTCTAGGCTTCGTTGTCTGGCTTTGAGTTTTTGTCCTGTCTTGAGCTGTCAGTAGGTTCATGTACCTGCTATTTGAACAGAATCCTAACCTGTTTCCAGGCTTTAAGTTTTAAGCAGATTTCCTTACCAATTCAAAACTGCTTTTCTTGAAATTACCAGCTGAACTTGCTATTGAAAGTAGTCAGATTATTTAAGAAATTGTGTGATCAATAAAATGTGGGGGAAAAGGAATGGAAGACAACTGTAGACACCAGAGATAGTGTGAGAAGAGGGTGGGAAAGGGCAGAGGGTCAGACATAGGGGTAAATATATATAAATATATATAAATAAATAACTAGAAATGGAAAATTATTGATGATAACATATGTGATTAAGCCACTATGCAGTATATTCTGAATGGGAAACCACTTTTTGTATGCTGTGACAATGATTAGGGGATGAATATAAATGAATTAATTTTAAAAAAGTTTCAGGAGAAAAAAAAGAACATGAAAACTACTTTTCTTGAAATTAAAAAAGTGCATATTTGATGACTGCAGTAAGCTATATAGTCTCAGGTAGGTGCTACTTTATAGTCTGTTCATTCTACTCACTGAGGTTTATGCCTAAAGTCAGACTTGTGTTCATGGATATGTATATATCAGCTGCGCCTACTATTGGAAGTATTTAGATTAATTAAGTCATTAGCAAATCAATTAAATGGGGGGGAAAGGCATAGAAAGCAACCGTGGATACCAGAGATAGTGTGGGAGGACGGTGAGACATGGCAGAGGGTGAGAGATAGGTAATCAAGGATGGCAAAAATAAAATATACAGGAAACAAGAAATAGAAAATTATTTGTTGATGATAACACATATATTGATATGCTTGATTGAGCCAATATACAGTGTATTCTGGATGAGAAATCTCATTTTGTTTGCTGTAATGATGTATAGTGAGTGAATATAAATAAACAAATTTAAATTTAAAAAATACTTTTAAAAATATATAATGATTTCTCAGCTGCCCTGGTAGTCTATAAATCCAAATGCTGAAATAAGCAGAACTTAGAACCATTTTTTTTTCACCATAGTGCATCTGCATTCACTAGAGAGAGACAGAGACAAAGAGAGAGGGAAAGTGAAAAATCACTCCCACGGAGGATGGCCATGCTGCAGTCCTTTCTCCTCCAGTCTCCTCTCTGGATTTTGGGCACGTCTGCACAAGTGCCTGGTATGGTTTTCAAGCCACCAGGTCTGGGACTTGAACCACAGAGTTGGCCTTGTGAAATCTAGCATCTGCCATACCCCTGCTGACTTATTCCAAATTTAAAAATCTCAACATGATAAAAAACTAAGATTGTATTTTTAATGGAAACATATTCAATTACATTATTTTCACTAAAATTATTATTAACATCAACAGTCGTATTTTTGGAGAGAGCCAAAACCTTTGTGCCTCTAGTACATAAAGCTGTCATTTAAAAAAAAAAAAATTGCCAGTGGGCATGTGCGCTGGCTAGAGAGAGAGAGGGAGAGGGAGAAAGCATCCCCCCAAGTGGGGCATGATCTTGCCTCAATCCCTTCTCGACCATTTCTCCATCTTGTTAGGATCTGGGGCACGTGTGCTTAGTGTGTTTCTCAAGCTTTAGGCCTAGATTTGAACCACACATTCAACCATGGGGGCTCCGGTTCCCTCAACCACTAGGTCAGCCCTATAGAACTATTATTTTAAAAAATATTATATACCGAGGGGCTATCAGGTGGTGTAGTGGTTTAGGTGCTGGATTCCCACATGGCCGACCATGGTTCAAGTTCCAGACTCAGCAGCTTAAAAATCATGCCAGGTGTGTGTGTGCACCCAAAATTGCAAGAGGCGTATAGAGGAAAGGGAGTTATGGCATGGTCATTCCCCCGGGGAAGGTGATTTTTCAGTTTCTCTTTCTCCGTCTCTTTCTGTCTCTCTCCAATGATGCATGCCCCTGTGGCAAAAACCGTGTGTGTGTGTGTGTGTGTGTGTGTGTGTGTGTGTGTAATTTACTTCTTTCCCATATGACCCTTTGAAAGCTTTTCTTTTGTGTATATGCATTCATAACATGTTAACACATGACTAACAATCCATGTCTATGAAGAAGCGTGTATTTAGAAGGTGGTTACAGGAATGAGAGGTGAAGAGTGTGTGCAGAGGCTGAAATCAGAGGCTCCTGACCTTTGAGCTTGGCCCAGAATAAGGCACAGGTTTTACGTCGAGGCTCACTGCTGCCAGCACCGTGCCCACGCATCGACTGCCCACGCTCCTGCCCTGTTACTTTTCTCCCCAGCACTGGCCATGACTCGAGTCCAGTTCAGAATTGCCAATGGCCACTTCCTGCTGTTGGCTGCACCCAGCTCTGGTCTGCAGGAGGCTCTAACTTTGGGTCGTCCACTACAAGTCTGCCCTCCCCCCGGAGCAGGGTGAAACAGCGTGTCCTCTGTCTCTGGGGGTCATGCTAATTCCCCAGTGCTGTTTTCCTGGAACACACCCCTGTATGAGGCCCAGGCAGCCCCAGCCTGCCCTGCTCCTTGTGCCTATCCCTGGTGTCTTGAGGCCTTGTCATGTCTGTCCTTGGAAACCCCCACTTTTAATGGCTGAAAGCACCACCTGAAGCCCAGGGCATGTGATTGGCAGCTCTGCCTCAACACTAACAACCCCAGCTGCTCCAGGCTGCCCTCTGGGCCCTTGGTAGCCTCCCTCTTCCACACCTTTGCTAAGTGCAATCCTAGGAAACTAGCACCGAGGGATGTCTCTGCTAGTTACATCACTGGCCACCAAGCAGGACAGGGACCAGCTGAACTGGCCTCTGAGCTGCTGCTCTTGGTGGCCAGGCCATAGACCTCTCAGCAGGCATTGCTGAGTAATTTCTGCCAGTACTGCCATAAGTGCGGACACACACAGTATTCCCCAAGCGGAGCTCCATTCACGGGTCGACTTTTGTGTGAGATGGTGACCCTTACAGTGACTCCTCTGTGCTGCCCTTGCAGTGACCGCCCTGATATGGTGCCACACTGTTGGTTCAGTCTGCACAGAACCCTGTGGCTAGCAGTGAGTGAGCCGGGCCTCAGCCACTTTGGCTGTCTGCTCTGCAGGGCCTTCATCCGCTGCTCCAGGCTTTGCTAGTCCTTTGGGCCTGATCTGTCTGGCCCAGGTCCCTCCAACACCCTCCTCATCTCAGTGTACAGAGAGTTGTGAGTGCTAGTGGAGGTGAGAGAGAGAGGTTCCAGAGAAAAATGAGGGGGCCTCAGGAAGGGTCCTTGCCCTGACAGGCTGGTGCAGCTGGGGCGAGTGTGTGTGCCTCAAAGATCTACCACTGCCTCTGGTCCTGAGGAGGTGGCTAGTGGACACACCCTGGACATGGAGTAAAGGATGGGGTCTAGCTTTAGAACACTCAGCAGAGGTAAGGGTGGTGACCTACACAGATACTGGGGCCCCTTGGGCCTTGCAGCATGGCCTTATTGGTCCCGGCTGGTGGAGAGGAGGGGAGAGTGCACTGGGAGGGTGGTAAGGAAGTGTGTGTGGTGAGGTGAGTGTAGTGGCATGAGTATGGGGCTAACAGGCTCCCACCCCCTAGGCAGAAGAGGAGCGAGATGACATGGAGAGAGTGAAGCTGGACAACAAGCGGATCCTCTTCAACCTCCTGCCAGCCCACGTGGCCCAGCACTTCCTCATGTCCAATCCCCGGAACATGGTGAGCATTTGCCCATGGACACCTCAGCTGGTCACTCCTCTTGCAGGGTGCCTTCAGATCCTGCCAGCGCTTAGGGACCACAGGCCTGCTGCTGGAACCCCACCCAGATGCCCTCTTACTGCCTCGCTCTACTCCGATCACAGTGTACCTGCATTTGCTTTCTTGTTCAGCAACTCAGCTAGCAGCCATCCTGGCTTCCTGCCTGCCCCAAGGGCAGGCTGGAGTCTGGGCTGTCAGGAAGCTCCTGGGACTGGGGTAAATTTATGTTGTTTTTCCCTTTGATCATGAGAGAGAACATAGTGTTTACACCCAAGTGAAAGGAGAATGGTTTCGATAAACCACAATGGGCAGAGAAAAGGCTCTGTATTTCTAGGCCCAAACATTTCAAATGGAGTTTCAGTTACAGCTTACTTTTGGCCAGTATGTACCTTGATAGCCAGAATGTGCCTGGCTGACTTGCTTGTGACACCTGCTTGAAGTATTTATGGTTCATGTTCCCTTTTCTGTGCTTGATGTTTGGGGGCTCAGGACTTCCCAATGGCCACTCCCTGCTGCAGTAATGCATGGGGGCCACCAATGTACATGGCAGATACTCTCAAAGCTCACATTCAACCATAGATTTGAGCAGGTTCTTAGGTCCTAAAGGGAGGGAAAAACTCCGGGTGCAGCGTTGATCCACTTTGGCCTGTAGTGGCCCCTGGGTTCATTTTTCATCGGGCTGAGCTCTGGAACATGACCTTCCTAAAGTCATGTGCTTCCTTCTGTCTCTGCCTCATCCTACTAAGCTCATGGGGAAGTGGGGCTGCAGGAGACTTAGCCTTCCCATGTGAGCCAAATGATCCCAGCTGGTCCTGTAGCTCTAGTCACCTATCCTGCTTCTTAGGATAGATCTGGGCCTCCTTGGGGGGACCTGGTCCATGCAGCCTGCCTGTCATTATGCCATATGTGTTCTGGATCCCTAGTCAGGTAGGCTGACTGTCCTCTGCCCTTCCAGGACCTTTACTACCAGTCCTACTCCCAGGTGGGTGTCATGTTCGCCTCCATCCCGAACTTCAATGACTTCTACATTGAGCTGGATGGCAACAACATGGGTGTGGAGTGTCTGCGGCTTCTTAATGAGATCATCGCTGACTTCGATGAGGTGAGGGCTATGCTCAGTCTGCATGTGGGGTGATCAGAGTGTCTCCTCTCCTGAATCATACTCGTGTCCAGCAATGTGTCATGTTGCCTGAGATTATTCCCAGGAAGCACACACATGCTGTCTCCTTGGGGTCCAGACCAACTGTGACTGAAGGTGAAGGGCTTGATATTACAGCAGGGACAAGGGCCATCAGCTAGGGCTCGGGCATCTACAGGTGCCAAGGTGGGCAGCCTCATATATAGATGGGCAGGTGCTCCTAGGCCCTTTCATATCTGGGCACTGGGTCTGCCCCACTGTTCCTGCCATGGGATGATTCTGTTCTCCCAGTTGGCCATGAGCTTGACTGTGGCAGACGAAGGTGTGCCTTGTATGTCCTACCCCACTTTCAAATGTGGACCCAAGAGCTCCCTGATACTCAAATGAGGAAGACAGGACACTTTGGGAACATGTCTGTTGGCTCCACTGTTGGTCCTGGTAGCTGTGGCTGTGGTGACTTTTCTTAAACGTTATGTCATGTTTAACAGTGTTGTGTTTTAAACAAAGCTCATGGAGAAAGACTTTTACAAGGACCTAGAGAAGATCAAGACCATTGGGAGCACCTACATGGCTGCAGTGGGACTGGCGCCCACAGTGGGGACCAAGGTGAGTATCATCCAGGGCCACCTACCAGGGGACCAGATTCTGGCCTGTCCTAGACTCCTCTGAGATGCTGGGCAGATACCCACCCTTGACTTGGTTTTCCCTCTGCATTGGATCAGGGTATTTTGACAGTGGCCACTGTCTCAGTACACAGTGTCCTAAGGCAAGTCAACACTGAAGGTCAGTCACACTGGCTTCTCCCAGCTCTGGTCCCTCTCCCTACCCCAGCCTTGTACCACTATGCGCTCATTGAATTAATAATTAATGACCTTTCCAAGCTGAAAGCACCAGGCCTTGATGCATTCCCTGGTGAATTCTACCAAATATTTAAGGAAGAAATTATACCAGTTCTCTCCGATCTCTTCCAAAAAGTAGAAGCAGGGGGAATACTTTATAACTCATTCTTTGAGGCCATCATCACCTTACTCCAAAACCAGGCAGAGACATTACAGGAAAGGAAAACTGCATACTAGTATTTCTCCTGAATCTAAATGCATAAATCCTCAGCAAGCATTAGCAAATTGAATCCAATAATGAGTAAAGAGTTATACACCAAGATCAAGTCAGATTTATGCCACAAATGCAAGGCTGGTTCAACATTCCAAAGTGAATTCGTGAAATTCACCATATCCTCAGAATAAAAAAAAAATCATATGATTATATAATTGATGCAGAATAATTATTTAACTCTATCCAACACCCAATCCTAATAAAACTCTTAGCAAATTAGGAATAGAGGAGAACTTCCTCTTCCTTGATAAACAACATCTATAAAACAAACCTATAGCTTAATATGATACCTGTCAGTGAGGAGCTGGGTGCTTCCCCCTAAGATCAGGAGCAAGGCAAAGATAGGTCCTCTGATTTAGTTCACTACTGTGGTGCTAACAAGAAAACTTAGGACTCACTGACTCAGAAAAAAATGCTCATCTTTTCTGCTCCTGGAGAGGGCAGGAGAGTGTGGTCTGTGTGTGTATGTCTCCTTCCCTCTCCTTATATAGCTCCCAGGAGTCAATCATGGGGCCCCATCTTAGTCAATTAATCACTCCCAAAGCTCCACCTTTTGACATTAATTGGGTCAAGCTTTCACCCTCTTAATGTCGTTACAATAGCTCAATACACGAACTTTAAAATGTTTTTCCTGATTCATGGTAGTGAGTGTTCACACACACATGAGAGTGAAAGGGTGAGACGAATACCCTCCATATACTCTGGTCATGCCATGATTCCCTTCCTCCATACCTCCAGCCTATCAAATCTTACACATGTGCCTGGTTCGGGTCCCTGGCCTGGGTTAGGCTAACCAGATCAGGGATTAAAACCTCAATCACTGTGTGAAATTCGGTTATTCCTAAGTAGCGCATTACTGTTGTACCCTGGAGCTGGACTGCCACATGAATTATGAGAAGTTATATTTAGACTACAGCACTCTCTTACTGCTGCTTTTCAACATTATGCTGGAAGTCCTAGCTAATGCAATAAGACAGGAAAAATAAAAGCTACATAAAAAGGGAAGTAAGAAAGAAAATTGCCTTTATGTGAAAATGATATGACAGTATGTGTAGAAAATCTGAAAGAACTACAACAAACAGACTTCTTGGAACTGGTAAGCGATTATAGCGAAGTTGCAGAATACAGCATTACTATAAAAGCCAGTTGCTTTCCTGTATACCAGCAATGAACATTTTGTATTCGAAATGACAAATATGGTATTATTCAGATTGGTACCATAAAAATGAAAAACTAGGTAAAAAATGCAACAAAATATGTACAAGCTCTATATGAGGAAAGCAACAAAACTCTGATGAAATAAATAAAAAAAGAGCTAAAGAAATGGGGAAATAATCAATGAAGGGTCAATATTGTTAAGATGTCAGTTCTTTCCTGTAGAATTAACCTAGTCATGATCAATGCTCCAGGAGGATATTTTGTGATATTGACAAACCAACCCTAAGTTTATACAGAAAGACAAAAGACCCAGAATAGCCAACACAATACTGAAGAGGAAGAACAGAGTTGGAGAACTGCCACAACCTACTTCAAGACTTACTCTCAGGCCGCAGTAACAAAGACAGTGTGGTATCAGAAGAATAGACTGTAGTTCAGAAAACAGAATAGCAGGCTCAGAAATACAACCACATAAATGGTTTCTGACAAAGAGTCTATGACAATACAATAGAGAAAAGATGGTCTTTTCAGCAAAAGATGCCAGAACAACTGGACACCTGTATGCAAGAAAATAAATACAGTCACAGACCTTACACCCGTCACAAAACTTAATCCAAGTGAGATAATACACTTAAAAATAAAATTCATAATTGTAAAACTTATAGAGTGTAACACTGGAGAAAATTTAGATGACCTTGGGTTCGGCAATGATTTTTTTTTTTTTTTTTTGTAATTGCCAGAGGGAGTGTGCGCTTACCAGAGAGAGATTGAGGGAGGGTCCCCCCCCCTTTCTATAATTCCTTCTCCTCCAGTTCTCCATCATGTCAGGATTTTAGGTATGCATGACCATATGCCCAGTGTGTTTTTCAGTCTCCTAGGGCTGGGATTCGAACTATGGTCAGCCATGTGGAATCTGGCTTCCTTAACTGCTAGATACCAGGCCTGCCCTAGCAATGAGTATTTAGATATACCAAAGGCACAGTCCATGAAAGAAAAAATTGGTAAGTTGGATTTATTAAAATTAAAAACTCTTACTCCGTGAATGATATTGTTAGAAGAATGAGAAGTCAAGCCACACGCTGAGAGAAAATCTTCATAAATCACTTGTCTGATAAAGAACTTATATCTAAAATAAAAACCTTTAAAATTCAACAATGAGGAAAAACAATCCCAACCCAGTTAAGAAGTGAGCAAACAATCTGAACAGGTGCCTTACCAAAGAACGTATACAGATGGTAAATAAGCATATGAAAGTTGCCCAAGATCACGTATCAGTAGGGAATTGCAAATTAAAACAATAGTGAGCTACCATTCCTTTCCCATTAGAATGCCTAAAATCCAAAAATACACCACCAAAACTGGCAAGGATGTGGAGCAGCAGAACTCTCAATGGTTGCTGTTGGGAATGCAAAATGACACGGCCACTGTAGAAGGCCACTGGGCAGCTTCTTACAAAGCTAAACAGAGTGACTGTGCTGTCTAGCCGTTGTGCTCTCTGCTATTTACCCAAATGGAACGAGCATGCATAGCAGCTTTATATATTACATATACCCTTTAAAAGTGGAATGTACAAGCAAATTCTGGTACATCTGTAAAATCTGTGTAAAGAAAAGAAATGAGTAGCCAGGGGCCAGCCAGTGGTGTGGTGGTTGAGGTGGCTCTATCACACACAGCCTACTGTGTGATTCTAGTCCTGGACCTGAAGGTTTGAAAGGCATGCTAAGCACATGAGTGTGAGTGTCCAGGGTAAAGGGAGGAACATGGAGAAGGGACTCCTAGGTGTTTATCCACCCTGGAGGAGGGTTGTGCTTTCTACCTAAAGTGAGTGCATGCACCCTAAAGCAAATTAAAACAAAAACACGACAAAACAAAACTGCTACCAAGTCAAGAAAAGACCTTGAATACACATCGAGACATAAAGGGAAGCCATTGGAAAGACCGCACACATACTGCATGATTCCAACTATGGCATTCTGGAAAAGGCAAAATGCGGAGTCAGTACAAAGTTCAGTGATTGCCAGGGGTAGGGGAAAGGAGGGGTGAACACACAAAGCAGGAGGGAGTTTTGTAGAGCAGTGAAACTGCTCTGACACTACTGTGCTGGACACATTTGTCAAAACTCATTTAGAATGTATTTCCCTGAGAGCAAGCCAGCCCTGATGAAAATGATGGACTTTGCCTAATAATAATGCATCAGTACTGGCTCATCAGTTGCAACAAACATACCACCTGTTGATGCAAGATGTGAGCAATGGGAATTGTTTGTGCTCAATTTACCAGTAAACCCAAAAGTGTCTTAAGAAATAAAGCCTATTTTTTTTTGGGGGGGGGGATTAGTTTTCTGACTTTGAGGTCTAGTAAAATATCCTTAAAACTTAGAAACCACACAACTGTTCCACTAAAAATAGGCCCTTTCACGCACCCACCCAGGAACACATTGGCACAGCTCCCTGACAAGCATATGCTATGCCCATATTACTCATTTGGGACAGGCTGGGGTAATGCCTGAGAGTCTGGACACTGACCTACCATCGCAGGGGCTGCCCGCCCTGATCCTGCCGGTCATGACCGGGCTCAGACAGCCTTGAATGAGCCCTGTACCCTGCCTCTACTGGAGGCTCACCTGTAGGATGGGGTGATAACTGTGTCTCCAGGGCTGCTGTGTTGAAGATTAGGAACCAAACCCCAGAGTCACCGCCAGGGATTCAGGCTGGTCCCTGTGCATCCCCACCCTGGCACTCCCCAGTTAGACGACCCTGTCTGTTCACACCTAGGCTAAGAAGTCTATCTCCTCCCACCTGAGCACGCTGGCCGACTTTGCCATTGAGATGTTTGACGTCCTGGATGAGATCAACTACCAGTCTTATAACGACTTCGTCCTCCGTGTTGGTACGTGGCCTCACACCTATCCTGTCATTTAATGTCAGAGGCCCCGAGCACCCACCTGGGCAGGTAGCCAGCGAGCTTTTTGGTCTACAGGGAGGAGAGAGGTGTTACCAGGAGCACTCGGGGACAGGGCAGGGTTGCCTCTGTGAGCTGCTTTTATAGTGGGGGATGCTCTGGTGATGTTGACCAGGCATGTGGCTTCCCAGAGGCCAGGGGGACCCCAAGCTACAAAGGAAAAGGGAGTCTCCATTCCCCCTCTCAGAGCATCCTGAGCTATGTCGTGCTCAGTTCTGGGACCCACACTCTAAAATAGCCGCAGCGTTGCATCCTGAGAAAAGGTCAGTGACCGCTATTACTTTAAAGACAGTGTCTCACTGTGTCCCCATCCTCCTGCTTCAGCCTCCCAGGCGGGACTTCGGGTGTGCACCCCGACGCCCAGCTCTTTTTCAGACAGGGTCTTGTTGTATTGCTCAGGCCGGCCTTGGCCTCATATCTTCCTTCCCCAGCCTCCTGAGTAGTTGGGATTGCAGCCACGTGTCATTGTGCCTGTCAGGCCAGGACTCAAACCCGGGCCTCCCATGTCTCAGCCTGCAAGGCACAGTGTCTCTGTAGTATACACAACCACAGCTGGGCTAAGGGGCCACTGTTTGAAAAGAGGATGCCCAAGGGGCATCCTGTGATTGTGGAGGCTGAACGGTCAGGCTTCTTAGTGGCTTCACCTGTGGAACTGAGCACAGGGACTGACGTCACAGGAAATGGGGTTTTTCCTAACCACTAGGACTCTGTCCATGGTCGGGGGTAGTGCTGTGCACTGTGTGCAGGCAGGGACCTCTGCTATCCCACAGAGCCTGGCGTGACCCCAGAAAATAAGACGCCAGAGGGAGCAGGCTTTTCTCCTGGGGAGCAGTGTGCAGCATGCTAGTCAGAGTGCCACTCTCCAGCTATGTCCCCCACTGCCGCGTCACTTTCCAGCTAAGGCCATAGCCTCGTGGGCTGTTTTCCAGGCATCAACGTCGGCCCCGTGGTGGCTGGGGTGATTGGCGCGCGCAGGCCGCAGTACGACATCTGGGGGAACACGGTCAATGTGGCTAGTCGAATGGACAGCACCGGCGTCCAGGGCAGAATCCAGGTCAGTGCACCCCAAAATTCCCTGGATGCAGGTACCACTCGTGCAGATGAGGACACTGAGGCACGGGGGACCACGATGGCAGGCAGAATCACCTGGCCAGCAGTTTGAGCTGCTGTTTGATCTGCCCCACGGCCTCTGGCTGCCCCTAAGCGACCAGGTATAGGGCAGGAACACTGAGTCCTGGGTCCCACCGCTAAGCCCACAGCCGGGCCACTCCAGATTCCCCCCCACATCCCACGTCCTAGCCTATCTGCTATCATAGCAGAGGAGTAGGGGTGCTGTGGGTGCCACTCGTCTCAGAACATCAGATTGCTGAGACATTCTCTGAGAGCTATGGAAAGATCTGGAAGCCACTGGCCTCGGCTTTCCATTGGGATGGAGGGGTATAACCCTGTTCTTTGGAGTTCTCTGAAAATGATGTGAAACTTGACCCACCCCAATGTCCACTGTGGATAAAGCCCCTGAGATCATTTGGAGCCTGAGAGGAGCCACCCTGCCCCCATGGCCACCCCATTTCTGGAACTACAGGCTTCAGAGGCCTTACAGGGAAGGTACCTGTCCCAGGGCATGATAATGGCTGGGCTCTGGGGACCTATGGGCATGGGGCAGTGAACACAGGTACTGGGTGGGAGAGACTGGTTCTCTCCTGTGCCAGGTCGCAGGCCCAGGGGGGGTTGCAGACCCCATTTCCAGCAGCAGCTATCAGCATGTGTCTTATTGGGCATTGGTTCTTCAGCTTTACTCTAAAGATGGAGCATTGGCCCTAGTGTTCAAGCAGCAACCTGCAAGGCTGCCTCGTTCGGCTGGAAAGGTCTTAGGCTGGTCGCGCATGGGGACAGCACTGATTCAGTCTCTGTGGCCAATGTTTCATGATCGGCAGTGAGAGCCAGCCAGACCCACGTTGTGAGAGCTCCCCTCTGCTGCTGAAAGCATGGCGGGACTTCCATGAAGTGTCTCCACACTTCTGCCTTCCGTTTCTTCTCCTTCTTTCTTTCTCTTTCCTTTTTCTTTTTGTTATTTTTGTTTTTGTAAACCCCCCCCCCCAATTTTTAAAGAATTCTTCTGTTGTGGTAGAACATCCTGGCCATTGCCAAGTGGCATCGAGGCATTTGCAGCGTCCCTGCAGGCCTGACTCTGTGCATCCAGATCTGCCTGGTGTTTGTCACCTGCCCTTATACGCTCTCCCACAGCTGTTCACACTGGCCACTCCATGGAGCACATGTCAGGCTGCCTTGTTTCCAGCCTGTGCCACCCCATCTCACACCATGGTTGCATTTCTGAGTTCTGAAATCAGACCTGAGCCTGTCCTTTCCTGGTGCCCCAGCCCCATGCTCAGGCTGCTCTCCATGGCCTCCGTCCCTGCTGGGTCACCCAGCTCTTGGCTGCCCAGGATGTTGCCTGTACCTGTGCAGGGCCTCTGTGCCCGCCCCCACCCCCCGACCTCTCCAGGGCCTCTGCCACAGGAGAGGTGGTGCAATCTCCCCAGCACACAGCCATGTCTTCATCTACCCTCAAGCTCTAATAAAATGAATTTTCTTTACTTGTATCTTTTTCCTCTGTTAAGCAGGGGTACATTTTTCTTTCCTATGTATGTATGTATTTATTTATTTATTTATTTATTTATTTTTAAGTTATTCACTTACCCCCTGAGAGAGAGAGAGAGAGAGAAAGAGAGAGAGAGGGAGGGAGGTAAGGAGAGAGAGAGAAAGAGACCCTGATAGCTCCATGTTGTGATCCACCCCAGCCTCAGCCGGCCTGGAGCATGGCCACCATCTGGCCCCAGACAGGACCCTGAGTGGACATGCTGGCAGGGAGTCTGAGAAATAGGGAGTTCCACATTACCCTTGTCCTCTCTGGGCGATTGGCCCACTGCCTTCTGTGTGCAGGGTACCCTACCCCGCTGTCCTCAGAGGAAGCTACATCAGGGCCCATGAACCAGCTGGCTTGCACCCCACCTTGGTACCTGCGGGCACCAGTCTCTGCTGCCCCAGAGCCCTGAGCCCAGAGTGCCAGTCCTATTCTCTATCCAGAATGCTGGAAATGGGTTCTGTGCAGCCTCCAGCGAGTGCCTGAAGGGCCAAGGCACTCAACTCTGGCCCTGGATCTTCCCCTGCCAGCCCTTCAGCTCTGCCTTCCTTCCCTACCTGTCTGGGCCCTCTCAGGCTGCCCTTGCCAGCCAGGCCCTGGCCTATGTGTTGCTTCCTTCTCCCACTTGTCCACGGGGCTGGCCCTGTAGACCTCTCCAAGTCTTCTGGACTGTCTTTGTAAGGTCGTTACAGAGGGACCGTAGTGATCACCACAAGAGGAGGGGCCCTGGCTGCCAGGCCGAACTAGGGAAGCTGTGTCCAGGTACCACCAGGGTCGGACTGTGGGTCGGGCAGTGACAGATGCAGGATGGAACTCCTGGCTTTTTCCCAGACTATTGTGGGCTTCCCACTCCCCAGAGGGCCCCATGGACTATTTCTAAGAGTGACATTGCTCCTCTGCTGACAGGTGACAGAGGAAGTCCACCGGCTGCTGAGAAGGTGCCCCTATCACTTTGTGTGCCGCGGCAAGGTCAGCGTCAAGGGCAAGGGAGAGATGCTGACCTACTTCCTGGAAGGCAGGACTGATGGGAACAGCCCCCACATCAGGTCTCTGCACCCTGAGAGGAAAATGTGTCCTTATGGGAGAGCTGGCCTCCAGGGCAGACGCCCTCCTGGGGCCGGTCTCCCGCTTGGGGCCGGGTTCCCCCCACACCCCCCTGGCCAGTACCTGCCTTCTGCAGCAGCTGGTGGGGAGGCTTAGCAGAGCCACACTGGCCGCTGGGGGGCACACAGGGCTAGCATGCTCAGAGGCCACATGGGCCACGGTGGCTCCAACCAGACCACCGAACCAGCAGAGTGGAGCCAGGGCTGGCTGAAGGAGGGGTACTGTCCAGGCATGGCCTGAGGCCAGCAACTGGGCAGAATCAACAGGGCATGATTCGCTGGGGATGGCACATCTGCATGGACATTGGATTGGGCGTCCCCCTCCCCATTGATGGCGTTGGGCTCGTCTTTTCCCAGCAGTCCTGCTCACATTGGGCCAAGGACCTTCAGAACGTCTCCCGGGGTTAAGGCAGGGGCTGTGAGGTCTGTGGGCAGAGCAGCGGAGGAGCTGCTGAGAGCATGGCAGGTGGGCAGCTCCAGCCTGGGCAGTGGCTTCAGGGGCAGCGTGGGCAGGCAGTGCAGGGTTGCTGGGGCTGCCCATGGCATGGCACGGCTGAGTTGGTCGGGTTCTTACTGCATGGGAATGAGTGACTCAGCTGTCCTTGAGAGCCGGAGGCGGGTCTTCTGGCGTCCCTGGACTCTGCGGCCCACGTCCGTCATCGTGGCCAGCTCTGGCGGCTGTTCCACTTGTTCTTCCCTGGCTGATGGCTCCTGCTCCTATACATGCCTCTTCCTGCACTGTGACGTATTTGTTTGAAGGCGAAGAGGGACAGCGCTTCTAGGATGTTGAAAGCACATGACGCTCAACCATGAACCAGCTTTCTTCATGACAGTCCAGCCCTCCTGATGGGGTGTTTCAGAGTTAGCTTAGGGCTGTGGGTCAAGGTGTCTCCGCTGCAGTTTGCAGGGCATGTCACTGTGGGTGATATTGTCAACATCAGGAAAGCTCCCACCTGCACTTCTGGACGATCTCAGTGAAGAAGACCAAGGCTGAGGGCAGACAGGGGTCTGGCAGGAATGATCGGAGGGACTGGCGAAGAATGGCCTGGGGGAGGCCTGAAATGTGAGATCTGAGACCTTGGTCACAGGGAGGGGGCAGCTGGAAAAAGGGACAGTCTAGGTGGACATGCTGGGGGCAAGGGGTGATCCCAGAACCCTCTGCTCTGAAATGTGGCTGGAAAGGTTTCTGAGGACAGCAGGTGAGACCTGGGCTGCCTCTGCTCATAGCCAGCAGGCATGGAGTCCCTTTCCTTATCACTCCCCAAGGGCTCCGCCCCCTTCCTGGTGGTCCTGACTTTTCAGAATCAGAGCCCAGATTTCCCTCCCTAGACCTAAGTGTGGGGCCTGGCACGGTGAGCAGTGGCATCCTCTGGCTGCTCCCACCATGGCCTCCTACATGGGGAACGTTCAGCTCAGCTCAGCCATATGGCCACCCTGGCGTTGTGGAGATCTTAGCAACAATAGATGAGACCAGACCCCATGACTTTGCAGGACACCAGCAAGGTGACCCCTGGGGCAGGCCTCTAGCTCATCCTATGCTGGCAATGGCGGCTCCAGCTGAGCTGGGAGACAGGACAGAGGCGGGCAGGTGGATGGCTGTGCACAAGGTCCCTGTTTACCCAGAGGCGGCCGTGGGCTGCAGGCGGCTGGCTACAGCTAAGAGGGGGGGCACCATCCACTCCCCTCGCCCTCCCGGGGACGG